GATTCTCACGTACGGAGACATGCCTTTGGTGGAGCATCTGAAGGAGGTGGACAGTCGCTTGAACGGTTTTGACAAGATAGCCGTGGATCAGGAAGTGAAGGCTCCAATAACTCTGGACGGCCCCAAGCAAGTCACGGTTGCGGGACCTCTTGACCCACTGGTACCTCAGGACAGGCAGTACAAGACTTCGGTTACATGGTTGATGGGCGACACTGCAGACGCCGTAGAGAACTTTGCGCTGGGAGTACTGAGCAGTCTGCTTATGAGCGGCTACGGCTCGCCTCTCTACCGCAATCTTGTAGAATCTGGACTTGGTGCTGATTTCAGTGCGAATACTGGCTATGACAGCGCTGGACGACGAGGTGTCTTGTCCATTGGGTTGGACGCCGTCAAAGCGGATGATGTGAACAAGGTCCGCGAGACCATTGCGGAGACCTTACTCGAGGTGCGCAAAAACGGCTTCGACAAGATCAAGGTCGATGGTATCCTACATCAGCTGGAGCTCTCGCTCAAGCACAAGACTGCCAACTTTGGGATGGGCATCCTCCAAAGACTAAAGCCTGGCTGGTTCAACGGTATCGACCCAATGGAGGCCCTCGCTTGGCAAGAAACGGTCAACGCTTTCCAGAAGAAGTACGCTGAAGGCAACTATTTGGAGAGCCTGATTGAAAAGTACCTACTCACCGACAAAACCCTGACCTTCACCATCCAGCCATCGGAGACGTTCAGCCAGGAACTCGTCGATGAAGAAAGCCAACGATTAGCGGCAAAGATTGCAGAGACCACGAAGCAGTTCCCAAGCGAGCAGGAGGCGCAGAAGTACCTGGAAGAGCGAGAGCTTCAGCTATTGGAAGTCCAAGAGAAAGCCAGAAACGAAGATTTGAGCTGTTTGCCCACTGTTCACGTCAAGGATATTCCTCGAGAAAAGGAGAGGAAGCCACTGCGACATACTCAGCTGGATGGCGTGAAGGTCCAGTGGCGCGAGGCACCCACCAACGGTCTGACGTACTTCCGTGCTGTGCACAGATTACAGGATCTCCCCGACGAGTTACGAGAGATGATCCCGCTATTCACCAGCGCCATCATGCGCCTTGGTACCAAAGACAAGACGATGGAACAACTTGAGGAACTGATCAAGCTGAAGACTGGAGGTATCTCCGTAGGGTACCACTCTTCACAGTCACCCTTGTCGCTCGACGCGTACGAAGAAGGTATGGCATTTTCCGGCTACGCTTTCGACCGTAACATACCCGACATGTACGAACTCCTACGGACTATCATACAAGAGACGGACTTTGATGGGCTTGAAGCGGGCAAGAAGATCCGAGAGCTCCTGCAGAGTGCGGCAAGTGGTGCCATCAACTCGATCGCAGAGTCTGGTCATTCTTATGCCATGAAGTTCGCTGAAGCTGGAATCAGTCCTGTGAGCCGATTAGCAGAAGAAACCGGGGGTCTCACCCAAGTCAAGGTTATGACAGCTCTCGCATCGCAAGAGTCGCTAGACGATGTCATCAAGAAACTCAAAGCTATCCAATCTTTCACTATCGCGAACAGCAACCAGCTCCGCGTAGCGATCAACTGCGGTAGCGAGAGCTCAACACCAAACCAGGAGGCACTACATCGCTTCTTGAACACATTACCCAAGGACGTCTCTGTGCCCTCGACGTCCCAGCAAAAGCAGTATCCTCGCAACGCCAAGTCCTTCTTCCCTTTGCCATACCAAGTCTACTACTCCGCCCGCGCTGTCCCGACAGTGGCCTACGCCGACGCCTCCAGCGCACCTCTCGAGATCCTCGCGAAGCTCCTTACCTTCAAGCAACTTCACCCAGAGATTCGCGAGAAAGGTGGCGCATACGGCGGTGGTGCCTACGCACGTAGCATCGGCGGTCTCTTCGGCATGTACTCATACCGCGATCCCAATCCGCAGAACAGTATGAAGATCATGGCCGAAGCAGGGCAATGGGCGCGCGACCGCGCATGGACACCTCAGGATCTTGAAGAAGCCAAGCTAAGTGCATTCCAAGGATACGATGCGCCACAAAGTGTCAGTCGCGAGGGAATGAGGCTGTTCCTGTCTGGCGTCACAGACGATATGCTGCAGACGCGTCGCGAACGCCTCCTCGACGTCACAGCTGAGCAGGTACAAGCCGTAGCCGACCAGTTCCTCGTCAAGGGCGCCGAGAGCAGTGTAGCTATCTTGGGCGAGCGGAAAGACTGGGTCAAAGAGAATGATGGCTGGCAGTTCAGAGACCTGGGTATGTCGGAAACTGCAAAGGCCGCTGAGGAAGCTGAGGGTATCGCGCAAAAGGAAGACGACGTGCCGGCTATCGCAAGCTGAGAATTTCGATCGACGGTTTAATGATTGTATAAGTAAATGTATGATATGAGGTATGAGACGCTAGCATCATCGGCGTTGGTAAGTTGAATGCATAGCGCGGTGTCATCGCTCCTTCCTCCTGTGCCATCTCATCTTACTGCTGTCTATCTTATCGTCGCCGGTCATACCTTCCGCCGCTCCGTGCGTCGGCCAAAGCATCTCTCTACGCGTTACTCTCAGTCCCTTTCACCAGCGCAACGAACAGAACCCAGAGGGACCACGCACTCTCTTCCATTGCTGGTTCGCTCTGCCCCTTCAAGTATGAGGGATTGTGCGCCAGAACAATCGTTGTGCCATCTACCCAGTCTGCTCCTTGGCCGTAAAACGTCGAGGAGTGGAGCTTGGGAAGGGGCATTGAGCACCTGCTTTCAGACCTACCTGTATCGAGCGAGACTCTTCTCCTGGTAGACTAAATGTGGGGGTACATCAAACTGGCTATGACTGTCGCAGAGGGAAAGACTCGTTGCATTTGGGTATCTAGTTATATACAATTTACATCCGTCTCTTCATCCAAGTTCATAATTCCAGCTGCTCCTCATCCTGCATCTGCCGCTCCTTCTCCCTTACCTCTGTCGCCTTGAGAATAAGGCGACGGTAATCTAGAACAGCCTGTTCCAGCTCCTTCCGCTTCAGCGCCTCGTGGTCTGAATGCGCGACGAAGATGGAGCCGGGACCGTACAGGTACCTCTTGTGGTCACCAGAGAGATGCGGCACATCCGTTCCGTAGTTGACAGTCAACGTCTCGAAGCCCTCAATGTCGCAGTTTATGTTCACCACGCCGTATGCCTCGCCGCCCCATTGTACGTCCAGATCGCCACCTTCCTTCTGCGCAAAGGCTTTGACGTCTTTGAGCGCGTCGAGGATTTGTCCGCGTATGACATCGGGGGTGCCGGCTGCGATGCGCGTAGCGATGTTCGCGGTTGCGGTTTCGGCGACGACGTTGGCTGCGACTCCGCCTTGTATGCGCCCGAAGTTCATGGTCGTGTTGCCGTATTTCGTGCTCCATGGGAGGTGTTCCCGCAGCTTGAGGAGCTCGCCCAGTGCTTGTACCATGATGTCGTTTGCGCTTACGCCTAGCCACGGGTATCCTGAGTGTGCCGCCTTGCCTGTCGCTTTGACCTCGAAGCCTAGCATGCCCTTGTGTCCACAGACTAGCTTCGCCTCGGTGGGTTCGCCAAAGATGACGATTTCGTGGGAGGATGGGCGTTTGTCCCAGTTGCTGAATGCGCGCATGCCGTCGCCGCCTGTTTCTTCGCCGACGACAAAGAGCAGCGATATATCCTCCTGTAGATGTTCTCGTATACCTTGGGCGGCGATTATCATGGGTGCGACGCTGCCTTTCGCATCCACGCTGCCCCTGCCGCCAATGATATCGGTCGTCTCATTGTAGTAATACGGCCAGTATGGAGGTACGACATCGATGTGCGAGGATAGGAGGATGGTTGTTTCGCGCTTGCTGCCGTAGGCTAGGAGATTGTATCGGTCTTTGGATGCTTCCTGCTTCTCGACGGTCCAATTGTGCGCGCGGAGGTATTTGGTAAGCCAATCGCCAACGTTTTCTTCGTTCCCGGAAATGGATTCAATTTCTACGAGCTTGCGGTGGAGGTATAGAAGATCTTTGGAGGCGGATGGATCAAGGACGGATGGCTCGAGCGGACTCTGAGCTGGTGGAGCCGTAGCGAGAACGCCGATGGCTAGAGGAAGAAACGATAGCGTTCGCAGTATCATGTTGAGATTTCATACGCAATTTGTGCCTTAGTTGAGGTTTGTGTTGTGTTGAGGGGCATTGGACAGCTAGGTGCTTGGGAGCTCCCCAGCCATCTTCGAGCCCGGTGACGCCAGCCGGCCTCACTACTTACTGCACATTGCCGCGCTACCGCACACCTATCGCCATGCGCTCCATGTCCGCCAGTCCTCATCCCCTAGGCACGTCAGTATATCTGCGCATCACCCGTAGCACAGGTTAGGGCCATGTCGAATCTGTCACGTAGGATGTTTTCTCAAGCACGACTACAGCCTCATTTGTAGATGCGTCGGCAACGCGCTTCCGAGATTTCGCCTTGGGTGTCCGATGTGCTTCACCACGCGCCCGGGCTATTTCGAAGACCCTCGCAAGGCAAACATATACCTGTGAGACATGTCACTACCCTGACATCGGAGAATGTCTCCTATGGAGCCACGCGCCAGGCTGCAAGCCAGTAAGCGCTCACTGATAGCCCGCGTCGTTCCAGCACAGTGGCACAGCTGCGCACACTTTCTGAATAGTAGCCTATGGTCTCATACTTACTCATCATATTTCGATCGGCTCAGCCTTGGGTTTCTTTGATAGTCGAATCGTTAACTTCTCGCTCTCGTTCAATTTCTGGAGTTACCACCGACTCACAAAGCGTAAGCACTTCCGATGCCATGATAGGGAGTGTATATGCTGGTGAAAAGCTTATACTTATTGCATTCTAGACCATCATTTTCGGAGACAATGGATGCAGAACAATCGATAGATCAAGTCGACCTTGCCAGAAACCAGTCTACGAATCAGTCTCTACATCTTGGAAACCGAAAGTCGTTCGCGCGTAACGTCGCCAATGCCTGCAAGAGGCACACAAGGCCTACCCGGAACTACAACATGGATCGCGGTCACAAGGCTTATGGCAAACAATGGCCCCGAACTTTCAATGTCCCACGAAGCTGCGGCGATCATCCCCTTTGCCAGGCCTTCAAAGATGATGAGATTGCAGAAGAGCCAAACAACAACGACAGTATCCGCGATGATGACGCAGACAGTCGATCGGATGACTTCTTGGACACATTCTTTGGAGGTCTTGCTGGCTCCATACCATCATGGGAAGCACAAGCCGTGGAAAAATATTGTTTGGAAGAGAAGACACAGTCAGCAACTATACGTCAATTCGAAACCTGGGCGTGGGTCGACGATCGGGAATTTCCGAGTGGACGAAACCGAGCATACCCAAAAGGTCTGAGTGCAAAGGAACTACGTGCAGTGTTGCTACGGGACCGATACGGACACCACGACTTGCCGAACGCTGATCGACGGTTGATATACATCTCCAAGCTTACTCCACGGTTCTTAAGCGTCTTAGCGGGAACTGCATGGGGCCATCAAGAAGAAGCGCTCCGTGATGCTATCTGCAAGCACATTGCTTCGGAAACGTCGTTTCGAGTACACATACCCATGAATGGCTTCAAGACCTATCGTCTGGAATTTCATCTCGCATACTTAGTAATGCGCAAGAAAGACACCTTTGCTCGTTCAAGTGCTTCCGCGAGTGGTACACAAAGGAACCTCGCGACCGACCTATCATTCCTGAATCCTTCAACTTCCAGTGGAGACGTACCTTCGTACTACATGTACAAGGCACATATAAGCATCGTCGTGTGTGGGTGGAGTGATACCCAGTGGACTGGGTACGCCTTTGCCAACACAGGCCTTCCCGAGGAACCCTTTGTAGAACAAGACGAGGAAGAGCCAAAACAGGACCTCTTCGCGGCAGACAGAGATGATGACTGTGTCCAGGATGCCGACGCGCCAAATTGGGATGCAAGAAAGTACTGGCTACAGATAGTTGCGATCAGGTGCGAATTGATCCGCAAGGAGTGGACGTTCTTGGTCCGTACCATCGAAGAAAAAGTGCACAAGTCGGTAAGACCCATACATCCATGAACTGCTTAAGTCTGGCGTCTGCTGATGGGATGCTAGAGAGAAACCGATGCATATAGTCTTGGCTTCGGCCGAGCAAGTGTGGACTCCAAAGATATCCAAAACTCCCTCGAGTGGACTCTGCAAACTATGCAATTACTGCGCAGGCTTCGAGACTCCCTTTCTCTGACCCTCAGAGCCTACATACGATTCCAGGAGCCTAGCGGTGACATACGCTACTTCTCCAGTACTCCAGACTATCCAGGTACTCCAGAGTTGTCAGCGATTCAAGGTAGCATCAAAGAGACCTTCGAAAAGCTTAGAGACCTTTATTCAAGCCTGAGCTCGCTCGACGATTCTTGCAAGCGCTTCGCCGCTCACGTCAGTCAAGTATCCCAGCAAGGTCGTGCGCCATAGCTTACACTTCACAGCTCGGACGAATGTTGAGCCTCGAGAGTAATCGACTTACCGCGGCAAGCAACGAGGCCAGTATAGAAAGTAATAGATTGAACTTTGAGAGTTTCAAGCTTAATGAAGAATCTCGTAACCTCAATCTCCGGACCAGTAATCTCAACGATGCGCTACGAGAACTGAACGAAAAGGCAACTGCAGCCGCATGCGCGAACCAAGAAGATGCGGCGAAAACCAGCCGCAGTACCCGTGTCAACGTGGAGGTTCGTACGAGAACTTATCTTTAGTGGGAAACGAGGTTTAGTAACAACTACGCAGCTTCTTCTGTTTACTACGCCATTCGGGATGGTGCTTCAGTATTTTGGATCTGAGACGGATATTTTCGCCTTCAACCGCAACCCGAAGACGTTTGTGATGGCTACTATCATATTGATGGCCGTCTTGCGTATCTTGACGTTGCTCCTCGAGCATGCACATTTTTTGCTGAAGTTCATGCCATGGGCAACGGTTACCCCACAGGTACAACTGTCAGCCCGCAAGGATAGCCGCAGTAGGTCAATTCGTGATGCGTCAGGCACCCAATTCTGATTTAGGCAGATATCCAGGGCCTACCACTACAGTCTGTCTAGAGTCAGCGGTACATATAGCCTAAGATAGGTAAGGGGCTGGCTGTTTGTAGATCGAACTTGACAACCAGTCTGATAAGGGAAATGAAGGTGTTTCTGTTGCATATGGATGCAAAATCTCGTACCAGATGCACACAACTGATAAGAGACAAGAATCTTCAATTTCTTTCAGATCCCCAAGGCGTTTACCGCCCCGTCCCGCTCTTTACCCAGAGGGGTGCAACGCTATGCGCCAAGACATCACTCTGCATGAACGTGCATGAGGACTACGCCACCAACGCTATCGAACGTGGGGTGTAGTCGCTGCTCATCTCTTCTCGTTTGCACAAGGTTTCACGATCGACGGAGTGCTTGCTCAGCATCACCGAACGTGTTCCAAAGACAGAGGAGTTCCACGAAGCAATATATACACAAACAATCTGTGTCATAAATAATTGCTTGTTCTCGTTAGCTTCCGTCGGGTGGAGCAACTTCTAAGGCTATATTCTTTATGCGTTGGCGAGCATCCATCACCTGCCAAAGCAGAGATCGATCATATCTAGGTACAAAATCTTAGGTTCACCCATTGAATATAAATGTACTCTAACTTAACCAACCAATAGGAGTATATCTTCATACTGAATTGAGAAATTACAAAACGCTGCACACGAACACGGAAATGAAAAGGTCATCTCCATCTACAGTGATTGGAAGACAATTGCTGACCAAAATACGGTCAGACGCGCTCGCTGAATGCTTGTGTAATCAGCTGATAGAACATCTTTATAGAGCAGTACATCTACCTTTCCGAACTCGCGTATGGCTGCACACAAACGAGGAAAAGCTCAAACTCACGATACCAGGCACGCAAGCGGCATGTGTATATCTGGCAGTGTGTAAGTGCATCTTGTGTACGAGCGAGAATTTGCCTAACCATACATTGCAGTGTAGCTGCGGCTATTCGTCGATTCCCATCTCGAGTGGAGGGTGCCCGGGCTGTGGTAAAGGAAGATGTGCTTACTGCACAACTACACGAATCCAATTACGACCCCATACACCACTCTTGAACTTCGCGTTTCGACATCACCGGAAGAAATAGCCATATGGAAGCCTCGGAAACTGCCTAGCAGAAGAGACGGGCCATGATTTGTATAGCAGTCAGCCTGTGTGAGGGAATCTGAGAAACAGATGGAGATCACGTAGCGCGGGAGGAGGCTCTACGTCCCCGTATGAATTGGATCAGTAGGAAAGAACCCAGCCGAACTCATACGGGAAGTGTAGGTTGAGGCTAGCGCGGAGCTACAACAAAGTGTTATACCTAGGTGTCGATCCTCTCAATACACTGCTCAAGTACAGAGCTGCGCATGACATACCTGATACAGTGAAGAAAATTAGGCTCTTAGGTATTGGTAATAAGATTGAACGACTCAACATGCGAGCAATCCCATGATCTTTTACTTTGTAGCCCGAGCTTCAACTGATCAGTTGGAAGCGAAAGCCGACCTTTAACACCAGGACTGCGAATACTTTTACCCGTCACGCGCGATGAGCATCTGTTTAGCCATGAAGCAATTTAAGTTCCTGTGAATGTAGCGGGTATGATTGAGACTGATGAGATGTTACGTTGACAAAGGAACAGTCGCACGAGCTCGCCTCGGAAGAAGTTTATAGTTTCTTGCACGGACCACGCTAGCGCCACGCTAGTCTCACTCACGGTGGAGGTCGTGGTTCAATCAATCCGTCACATCCCCACCGTCTATGCACATATCGTATTTATTTGGCTTGCTCCTGACAAGATTGCTATCTACTCAGTCTTGCAGTTCCCTGGAAACTAGGTAACCTCGCTGGCTCACCTTCTTCCAACACCAAACGACAATTTACGAGGGGTTCGATCAATTGTATACTTAGACCCTCACAGGCGCCCCAGACTGACGAATTCTACATCACTTTCTCTTTTCGTTTGGATGTCGTCGTGGTGTATTTCCAAGGTTTAGTGAGGGGTGAAGATGCTAGTATGTCTTCACATGCTGCTCTAACAATCGGGTGGCAAATTCTCAAGAGACGTTAGCTCCACCATCCAATACGACGAATACTATCGAGGAGGAACCTTGGAACTGACCACTCATCATTACAATCCCGCTACTGCCATGTTGCGCAGAAGTGCGGGATCGCAGGGTCAGCCTTAGAGCCCAACGTTCTGTGTCCTAGGCCATTACGCTCTTTCGGATGTTCCAGCAGAAGAGATCGGTACGATAACTGCAGCTCAGCCCAGCGGCATATGTGCATATGGCTTCATTCTTGTTGGTAAAAGGAAGACACAAGAGTTTGCTACACTGCGTATCGGAGATAAGCGCCACTCAGCCTTGCTGGTGGCGTATGAAGTACGGAGTCTACATTCGGGATCCCGATGACGCCCTTCATGCAGGTCAGCCCTTGAGACGCCAATCTTTTGCTGCCCAACTTCGTCATAACGAAGGTTGATCCTGTAATATCCAGAGCCTATATTGGGTTCTTCGAGCACAGCATACTCGAGACTACCGTTGACTGCAGCTGCTGGTTGTGTGTTCTTGCTGGCACCACTCACGTCACCACAAGGCCGAGATATCCTATAAAACTACAGCTATGGAGTCGCATCAAGAACAAGGCAAACAAGGCCTTATTAATGGTCCTGTGATCACAGTGCCAAAACGCCAAAACACGTGTACGAATAGCGAGACCTGCTCTCTGGTCACAACGCTAAGACACGAAGGACGTTGCTGGCTCTAGTTGGTTGGAGAATATGATACGGGATAACACGGCATCGAGGGCCTCATTACATTGCATCCCCAGTATGAGCGATAAGACGATCAGCCAGAAGTATATGAAGAGCACCACGAACTGGCTTGTTGAAGTCCGGATGGTCTTTTTCGCGACCTTCTCGGCACCTATGAAGTTTCTTAATATTTCGAAAGCCTACCGGTTCAATATGCACAAGCATCTACGCACAGCATCATCATATGCGAGATATTTCAGCTGTATATTACGATCTTGATAGGGGCTCTATAATCGCGCAGTGAGTGCAGAGCGGTATCTCTTTTCGATGTCTCATCAAGGCCTTGACTGGGGATTGGAGATCGCAAGCGAAGATCGGACCACAATATGACACTCTCGAAACGTGGATGCTGGGCAACGGCCGCTTCATTTCGGCTAACACGAAATGCAGATCCCCATGGCTTACAATCCAGGACCTGTGCCTACTCCAGGCCCTCGGCGTTTCTCGCGACAATGGCCACAAGTCTTCAACGATGAAAGGAAACCTTTAGAGCTCTATCCATGGATGAAAAAACTGCGCGAAATTGCACTGCGCGAACGTTCGGGGCGACATGATGGTATCGAACTGTTCATGCGGCAATACGATGACGGCAAAACACCATCGCGCGTTAAGGCTGTGGTCGACTACTGCTGCGGCTTTGGCGAAGACCAGTTCAGGGATACCAAAACGATGAGACAGGGTAACGCATGGCTGGACGACAGAGCTGCTCCGCCTGCTCCAATGTCTGCTCATATAAGGCACACGGCCGCTTCGAACGACTTATCTTTGCGACAACCAAACGCCGAGTGTGATATCACCGATGCCCACTCCCAACATCCGCTGGCTTCATCGCAAGACACAGTGCTTATGACTAGGTCCTACGACGAACGTCTGACCGCGTGGGACTTGAGACGCCATCTCCACGTCAACCGATTCAATCACGATCGGTTCGAAGATGCAGACCGTCGCCTCATACATATCGCGGATCCATCTCCATGTCATATGCTCGCTTTGACTGAGACCGCAACCGAGCATCAGGCCCCAGCTATCAAGGATCTCCTAGGCCAATACCTCACATTCCAAGCGTCTATGAAAGTCCAGATCTCCACCGAAGGATACTCTGTCTTCCAGCTTGAACACCATTTCCCCTATTTTGGACTGTACACGGAAAGCCCCGGGGATATAAGCAAGCAAAACACTATGAGAACAGATCGCAA